ACATTTGTCTGACTGAACAGATTGTAGCCATAAGCCCAACAGCAACTTGATGACACGTAAGATTAATGCTAGTTTATGTCTGGTAAAACACGTTTCCAAAACGTCGCACGTTATTTTATTGCTCCATACATCCAACGGTCAGATTTCACAGAGTCACACAGTCTTATCTGTTTCTTTCCTTTTAAAATACAATTTATTATTAAGTGCACAGACTATCTGCTTGTGTTGCACCACAAATTGCTCTTTTCTGAGGCATACTTTTTTCCAACATCTCAAAGCTAAACGCACCACTAACATTATATGCAGAGAAGTAAACCTATTATTAACAGTATACAGTAATAAATTGATATTGCAGACACACAAAGAGGAACTTGAAAGTCGTGTCCAGAACCCCATGTATCAGCATCACGTATCAGTGATTGTGACTGTAAAGCTGGTGTGAAAACAAAATTCCCATGCCGTGGTGGAAAAGCACTACAATAGTTAGGCAGTAATTCTTGTCCGGGGCAAAGGGCTTAATTCAGACATAAAGACCTGCTTGTACGGTGGGGAAAAGCAATTTTCTCTGGTCCAGGAAAGGTTGGACACCTGCTGAAGCAAAAGCCAACCAGTATGCTACGCTTCAATGGCGAACAAGTGCAGGGCTGTCTTCAGATACATTGCCATCCCGTGTGAGTAGCATGGGGAATGTGGTTTTTTATTCTCTATCTCATTTAATGGCATCTATCACATATGTGGAAAGGCTCAGGATAAAAACATGCCCCTGTGCCCCAGTCACTGGAAGATGTACGATCGGCAGTCGTGTTTCAACTGATTGCCGAAATTTAGGGATGAGTCTCCCGGGTTCATCTGCAAAGAAACGTATAAGCTGCGCATTCACAGACACTATCCCGGGTTCACAAAGATTTCCTGTCAGACTCTTTAAAGTGATTACTTAGTATGCGAATGGGCTCCCTTTGCCTATAGAGATGCTAATTCGGTGGCACTTTTGAGGATGGTGTAGTACATTTACTGTTAGAGCAGCTTGGAGCGCCTCTGTGGCTGCTCTGTCTGTCTGTCTGTCTCTCCGTCTGCATCCGTCTGTCTCTCTGTCTGCGTCTGTCTCTCTGACTGTCTGTCTCTCTGTGTCTGTCTGTGTCTCTCTCTGACCATCTCTCTATCTGTGTCTGTCTGTCTCTCTGACCGTCTGTCTGTCTCTCTGTCTGTCTCTCTGACTGTCTGTCTCTCGGTGTCTGTCTGTCTCTCTGACCATCTGTCTGTCTCTCTGTCTGTCTCTCTGACTGTCTGTCTCTCGGTGTCTGTCTGTCTCTCTGACCATCTGTCTGTCTCTCTGACTGTCTCTCTGTCTATGTCTGTCTGTCTCCTCCTGTATTTATTGTATTTAGAAGCAGTACTGGTACCATGGGAGAATTAGAGAAGTTCTAGAGGTTTACATTTTGGAAAGGAATCAGGAAATCTGAAGGTCCTGTAATTTTTTTTTTACCAGAAATCTGACCTTTTCAGGCTTTTCATAAAATACATTTATTACTAGATTCATAATTTTAGCAAAAAAGGAATAAGTATATTCTTACTGTCGAACATGTTAGCAGTTTAATTTTTTACAGTTAGAAGATATATAGGATTAGTGCATTTAACACTCCTAATGGAGACAAAGACATGCTTCAAATACTTTCTAGCAAGGCTGTTCCCCGCATGGGGTTCTGAAAACAGAAACTGTGTTTTTATTTGAATGTGTGTCAACAGGCACCAAAGACATTCTCCAAATGCAAAGGCTACAACCCCTGGAAAGGGGTTTTAAAACAGACATTAAATAGAGCTGATTCTGCATATTCAAAGCATGTTAATAAGGCTCACTTTTTTCAATAGATGGTTGCAGGTAACCTTGGGACCAGATAACACAAAATGGGTCGGTTTCTCTAATACAATCCAGTCCCTCTGTGCACCCTGATGTGAGCAGCTAAGAACCCCAGGCTGAACAAAGCACCGCTGAATGCCCCCCCACCCCTACTCCAGCACCCGGGCCGCTGGGGGAACGGCAGAGGCGTTGTTTGCCTGTCTCCCCCTGTGTCACATGTGTGTGTCTCTCCATTGGTCCCCAGTAGACAACAGAACTTTTTCAATCTGCTTCCAGCCATGCCAAGTCAAATGGGGCTGTTTGTTCTGGCACAGGGAATCTGGGCCGGGGGGAGGGGGGCGCTCGCCTTGGAGAGCTCAGGACTCAGAGAGACAGTTCATGTCAAGGCATTTTGGGCTAGTTTGAAATACGCTACATACATAAACATCCTATTTATTCTTATCTTTCTGCATATGACGAATCGCCTAACTAAAGAGGATAGCAAAACGACCTGCCCATTCTTGCCCATTTTTGACTTGCGGAGTAACATAAAATCCCATCACACCAGTACCTGTCCTATTGGGCTTAGCAGAATGTTTTTAAAGGCACAGGATGAAACGTTATAATGTTAAGGTCTTGGCGACCTGGATTCCAGCCTAACGACACACATGTGAGTCTAACACATGTTAACGTGGGTCACAGCCATGATTTTGACCCTTCTTGGGCTCAGCGGGTCGGGAAAACGTGGCAGCTTTGTAGCATGTGCCAAACCTACAGGAAAATGTGTATGGAGGCAGCAGCACTTAACCACACAGTACCAATAATTCATGGGGGTAAAGTCACGCCACACGGAAACTATGCTGCTGGTATCTCTGGAAACTTCCAAGAAAACAGAAAAGTGGCTTTAGAGGCTGCAGCACCACTTAACTGAGCACTCAGCGTTAAGTTAACCGCACCATACCAATAATCCAATACACTGATGTTAAGTTACGCCACACGGAAACTATCCTGCTGGTATCTCTGGAAACTTCTAGGAAAATGGAAAAGTGCTTGCAGAGTCTGCGGCACTACTTAACTAAACATTTAGCATTAAGTTAACTGCACAGTACCAATAGTCCATGAATGTTAAATTACGCCACACGGAAACTATCCTGCTGGTATCTCTGGATACTTCCAAGAAAACAGAGAAGTGGCTTTAGAGGCTGCAGCACCACTTAACTGAGCACAGTGAATGTCAAGTTACACCACATGGAAACTATCCTGCTGGTATCTGTGTAAGCGTCCCCCCCCCCGCCTTACCTATCTCCGAGTGGCAGAACTGCTGCTGGGGGTGTGCGGGACTGCAGCTGCATGCCTCGGCCGCCTCCTGAAACCCCGGGGTCAGCAGCAGCAGCAGGAGCAGTTCCGTGGGCACGGGGACTCCCATGGCGCCTGGCTCTCTCGCTTTCTCACTCTCTCGCTGTCCCACTGCCTCGCTCTTGCTGTTTTATCCCACGCGGATAAGCGGAGTTCTGCGAAAAGAGCCGGCACTGTAACTCCCGTCGGCGCCGCCGCGGGAGGAAGGGATGCGGGGAGGGAGGGAGGGTCGGATGAGTGGATGAGCAGATGGGATCTTCCACGGGTCGCTGTAGCCGATGAGTGCGCTCTTTCTTCAAGCCAGTGCTTGCTCTCCTTGTCACAATCCAGAGGGGGGAGAGAAGGAATCCCTTAAATACCTTTTTTCCACACTGGAGGGACCGCCCCCTCTGCCAAAAAACACTCCCCCCCAACCACAAAGACACATTTCTCTCACTTTTCCACTGAGTTCAGCCCATAAAACAAACAAACAAATAAGCCTGATGTCTCGTCTGTTAGTAATTTGTTAAAAACTTAATAACCACAGTGGAAATCACACTCCGGTTTATGGTTCTACTGTGAAAGCCTGTCCTTAGGTGATGCTAGACGATGTCACTGCTACCCTCCCTGCGTAACTGTAAGAGGTGTCAGATTACCCAGTAATATCTTCACGGAAAATTGGATTAAGGTTGTCACCCGGAAACCAAGCAGTGGACCATAAATATATCATTAAAGCAGAGGAAATGCAGGATACTTGTCCACACAGCAGTCCACTAATTATGATGTTGAACCTGAGGCCTTGTAATTATTATTGAGGACTGCAGAGGGGGTGGGGTGGGGGGGGGGTGCAGGTAGCAGTCACAATGAGAACTGGATGGGACATTGAACCTGAATTTCCCTCCTGTCCGCACGAGTGCATTTGCGAGAAACGTTATAGCTGAAAGCACAGCAGGAATTTTCCGGAATTAGAAGAGTGTATTTTCACTTAAACGCCTTTAGAGGGATCACATTGCCTTTGTTGTGGAATTTTTGTACATTACTGTCTGACTGAGACACAATTAAGTCATCATGTAATCAGCCAATCACATAGTAGCTTCCTTAAAGTATTGCTTTCACCACTGTTAGTTCAGTGGAAAAAAATCAGTTGGTTAATGACAAATAATAGTTAATGATTTCTCAGGAAAAAATATGCAAATGATCACACCTGGTTCTTAGGTAAAGAGACTGAGTGTCACAACTTTAGGGACGAAGGACTCAAGGGCAGGCGTTATAATAAAACAAAGGGGGTTTATTTGAACTAAAGGAACAGAGGCTGGAAACAAACTGGACCACAAGGATCAAAATGAGAGGAGCGGAAATTAGAAAGGGAACAGGCAAAAGGAGGGTTTGATGTCAGTTACTGGACTGGGGAACACCGGACTGGGAAGCACGTATATACAGGACTAACGAGGGAGCTAACTTGAGGCAGCTGGGAGTGATTAACATGAGGGTTAGGATTGAGAGGTAAGTCAGATGAGTAACAGGTGTGGCTTGTTAGGGTGGAGACAGGAGGGTCAGGTGGACATGGGGGGCAGGACATGATACTGAAGAAATGGAAAGAGGACCAAATCTAGCAAATGACCCAGAAAGCATAGGAGACGTGGATTAGTATTTGCATTGCTGTAGAAATATTTAAGAGAACTTGGTTTACGAACTAATATAATTCTTCATGCTTTATATGGGGTCAGTTAGTCATAGACATAAACTAAGGGATGTATATCCTTGTCATCTATCCGTAACCGGGGACAGGAACCAATCAAATGCTGTTCTTTCTTTTTTGTACATCTTCCAGATCACCATGCCTACATTCCCCGTAGTTGTGAAGATTGGACATGCCCATTCCGGCATGGGAAAGGTAAGGGCCCTATGCAATGAGGCCAGTGTGGCACCCTAGTGTGTGAGAGCATCAGATCAGTGTGTTACCGTCATGATGCGACAAGATTGCTGGTAAGTCAATGATAGCAGCGCATGTGTCCTCTCGGAACTGCATCCCTATAAATAAATGTACATGCACCCCACCCACACACGACCAACTTTCAAATCGAGCCACTTCCCGTGACTCTAGTCCATTTTCCCGCACTTCCTGCTTCCCCTCTCCTCTTTTGTCCATTTCCTCACCACACACAGGTGAAGGTGGACAACCACGGTGACTTCCAGGACATCGCCAGCGTGGTGGCCATCACGCAGACCTACACAACCACAGAGCCCTTCATCGACTCCAAATATGACATCCGGATTCAGAAGATAGGCAACAATTATAAGGCTTACATGTAAGAGCCCGCTTTGTGGCTTCTGCCGAAAAATGTGCACATTTTGAAATATATTTATGTGCTTTGTTGACAACATCAATGATGTGCTGAAAGTGAGACTGGATTTAAATATCCACAGTTGAAGAGAAGGTGACAATAAGTGCTGCTGAATCACGGTTTTTACATAAGCGTGTTTCATTCAAACATTTGGCTGCAGGATGATCGATAATGAAGACTCAGTTATTGCGTGCTGGGATGTTAAAGCTGTACTTTTAAGTATTTTGTTGAAATTAATGAAGAGCAAAGTCAAAACAGGGGGGGGGGGAGTCACCAGTCATGAGAGATGGGAAGCAGTCTGCGTGGGGAGGAATTTTCCCATGATTTCCGTGTCTAATACCAGTAACACACTGACTCACTGCTAAAATCCCAGCACAACAAAGGATTTTTAAATGCCTGGATGCATGTTTTGTATGCTCATGGATGATTCACCATAGGCATTGTGTAAAGTTAGAGATAGCACCAGAGGTGAGATTAAACGCGCGGCTGCTAGAGGGCTGTTAGCACCTTCCCCTGTTATAGTTTCTCAAAAATGGCGTGTCCCGGTGATGCTGTTTTAGATTAAATGAGAGGACGTCATCACCCCCCCCCCCCTTTTCTCGATAGGAGGACGTCCATCTCAGGAAACTGGAAGACCAACACAGGCTCTGCCATGCTGGAACAAGTGGCCATGACAGACAAGTGAGATGTGCTCAAAGGGTGTAGAGTGTGGTCGCAGGAAGGGGGATCGGACACTAGGTGGAGTAGTGCCACCTGAGGGTACCTTCGCCATGACATTCAATTAAATGACACAGGGACAAAAAATACAGACATAGAAACTAAACATGTACAAAGGAGACCCTGCAACCAAGTGCTTGCTATCTTATACAAACATGAATACATTCTGTTATAGTTTGAGAGTTTTAGGGGAGGTGTGTGGCTGAGAAGGTTAGTATGCCTGTAATCATGAAGATTGCTAGTTCAAATCCCACCATCAACAGTGTGATGTCAGCAGTGGCCCCCATGTGAGGCCCCTAACCCCACTGTCTGGCTGACCCTGCTCTTTCAAATGGGCATCACTTAGGATAAAAGCATCTGGTCAATAAAATAAATGTATGCAATGTTTGGGTCTTTTGTAGACTGCCTGCCAGACCATCTGGTACCTTTACTGAAAAGACAGGAAGATTATGTTAGATTGAGACTAATGACACCGATTTCCTGCAGAAGTCATGTGTTGAGAGTTAAGCAGCAGTTTTCTGCTGGATTAGTGTACATTTGTAGGTAAAAATCACGACTGAACAGATATTATTATAGTGATGGACCATTTCTTAGCTGGCCAAGTGAGTATAAATCCATTATTGCAACTTTTTGTGATGTTCAATAAAAAAAAATCAACAAAGGACTACTCTTAAAACCCTGTTGTGCCATTGCGGGGTTTTACAATCTGCTAACACTAGGCATAGTTAAAAAAGGAAACAATGAATCATTTTTCACCCCATTTTAAAGACCATAGTCTATTTTTAATGGACTTAAAATGAATAATCAAAAACAGTTTCATAACATTAGAATGTCCAGTTATATCTCTGTAAGCCCTACATTCACTCTAAATTTCACATTAGATTTGAACAAATGCAGCCTCAAACACATGTTGTCTGTTCAAGCATCCGGCGCTGTAATGTCAGCATATCTCTGAGGTGTCTGACACGTGGTGAAAGCTAACGGGTCACTATCCAATGACATGTCACTGTCCTCTGTCTGGCAGGTATAAGCTGTGGGTCGACACCTGCTCTGAAATCTTCGGGGGACTAGACATCTGTGCAGTGAAGGCCATCCATGGCAAGGATGGCAAAGACTACATCACCGAGGTAAGCCCAACACACGGCATCAGACACGTGAGAGATGGGCGCAGTCGGGGATCTTTGTTGGTGCTCTTGTAAAATCTTTACAGCATTGGGACAGTTACTCTGTGCTTTGATACAACTGCCTGGAGCGACTAGTAAAGCTGTTAATGTTTCTGAAATTCCCCCACACTCAGAAACACGGACCTCAAACCTTCAAAAACATCCTCTTTGGAGACCATGGGGAGATAAATACGGGTTTTGTGACAGTAATTATTTTTGATAATGTCTATTGGATTAAGTCTGTCGTTTGCATTAAGCATGTAATTCATTTTTAATAGAAAGTCAGTCGTCAAGCTCACTGGCAGCAGAAATATTATAATTTCAGAGCGGAGAATTATCTTTTCAATTTTCCTCATCTTGCCCTGATTAAATGTATTTTTCAAAGAGACTCCATTCGGCCTTGGAGGGGAGGGCTGGTATTAAAAATGGGGGACGAGTACCAATAATAAATGGACTGAATTGTAAACATTTATATACAAATCCCTCGGAGCCCCTCCCAATATTAAGGTTTCTTCCCTTCTCTTGCTTACATTTAATTTTTGACTTGAAAGCGGAGCGTTCCAATGAAAGAGTAATCCAGACAGGATGTCTTAATTAAACAGAAGAGCGTTTTAATGATGTAGGAAAAGACACAGATGTCAACAGGCTGAGACGTCTCCTAGTAATAAACATGGTATTGGAGGGACTGCGGTCAAACATGAAGGCCAGCAAGGCATTAAAGCTTAATGATTCAAACACGGGAGTCTTGGAAATGCACCTCAATTCGCGGATGTAAAGTTTTATATTGTTTTTTTTTCTTGAAGCACAAGCCACAACAACAAGGCGTTTTCTCTTTCGTTTTTGCAAAATCTCGGAAACTCCTGCCTGGCTTTCCTATATTTTAAACCAGATTGCGAAACCGATTGTCCTGTCAAAAAGAAAAGTGGCGCCTTCAGATCGCACGTCATGCCGTGCAACTGACGAGTGTTTTCTGCCACGCTTGTGCGTCGCTGAGCTTCATGCACGGCTGACATGTTTTAATTAGCCGCTGCTGCCGTCGGTTCGAGGCACACTGTACTAAGTCTCTTCCCTCCCTCTGAAGTTTCCCATAGACGCAGATTAGAGAGACACAAGCAAATGTTTCTCATTCTGCCCCAATCACGATTTTTGCTGCACTACTTGTTTTGACATTTGTTGTTTGATGAGTAAATCTGATCTGGGGATTGTTTATGTTATTAATGCCTAAAAAGGCAGAAACTAAAGTTAATCTGATTCATCTGAAAAGAGGGGATTACAATAGTGCTTTGTATGGCCAACGTGTATCAAATGACACCTTAGAATATTCTACCAGATCCAGAATTATAAAATGTTTCCAGTGGTTGGTTGTCTGGTATTGCAACACCGAGAGCATCTGACAGGAGCTCATAGGTCAGTTTCTGCTGGTCAGCTGGGGTTTCAGTTGCTCTGCCCACTAAGAGACCAAAGCTAATTGCTCCTAATTGTATTTTTTGTAGTTTTAAGTCAGTTGTTGGTACGACGGTGGGCATTACGTAGCCTGGCAGTTAAGGGCGTGGACTTGTGATGAACGAGTTGCTGGTTCCAGTCCTGGAGAAGAGCCAGAAGTATTAGTTTGATCAGTAATCACAGGCAGATGTGTTAACATGAGGAAGGATTAAGCATCTGCTAAGATGCTAACATGATAATGGTGGAAGCAATGGTGCCGTGCTCTCCTGTGCTGGTAGCTGGGCTTTGGGGGTCCTTCCTCAGTCAGTCCGCCCTCCTGTGCTGGTAGCTGGGCTTTGGGGGTCCTTCCTCAGTCAGTCCGCCCTCCTGTGCTGG